AGTATTGAAGGAGCAACAGAACAGAATACAAGAAAGGCAAATGAGGTAATTAATAAGACAAAATTTAGGCGGTGGAACATTTAGTGTAGAAAGATTAAGACAACAAGCAATGGAAGCAACCCCACCACAAGCAGAAACACATACTGATGACTTTATGCATTCAACAGCAATTCAAGCACAACTGCAAGAAAGGGCAAGACAATTTGCAGACAGACAGCAACAAACAGGAGAAGCACACCAAGGACTTTTAAGTGGAAGGACTACGCCGATTATGGATAGATTATTTAGTGGATTAGGTGGATTAAGCAGAACCAGTAGCAGAGCATGGACACCAATGGCTCAACCAACTCCACTAATACCCCAGGCCCCAGACATTCATTATAGGCAGTGAAGATGAAGACGAAGGAATGATGACAGCACCAGAAGAAGACATGATCTTATTCCTCATTAAGATCAGCAAGCCCAAGCGCGTCATCTGTTCAATTAAAACAAACTTCAATGATCTTAGACAAATACAGAAACAGAACTCCAACGCAAATGGCAATCAACTTTAAAAACATTACAAAAGTATATAGGGCGTTAGTCCAAAATGAATTCATAGCACCCAGCCAGTTAGAAATAATACAGCAACAAACAAAAGACCAATTAAGGCAAATGATAAGCTCACAATATGAAAAGGATGTTTTATCAACCACAAAGCAAGCAGTAGTTTAGGTTTAAAAAAATATCTAAATATCATTAATAAAATGATCGTAGTAAAAAATAAATTGAAGACAAAACATACAACAGATGATGATGAATACCTAAGCTATCTAAAATACTCACACTTAAACAAACCTGATCAAATTTGTTATAGTCTATATGGCGATGATGATGATGATGATTTTAAAGTAACAGCAAATAAAGGAACCCAATACCCAGATATTAGAAACAATCAAACACAAACAGATAGAATAGCAACAGCAGACAAAGCAACAGATCCAAAAGATGAACTAGATGAACTGATAGGAAGATACATTTTAAAGATGAGTTCTGATAACTACAACAGCCTTCAACCTTCAAGAAAAGAAAAGATGACCCAAGTAGCCATTCAAATGATCCAAGGCACTGATCCAAAGACTCCACCAAGTAGTAGCTCAGGTAGTTCTAAATCAACACCAAGAGCATTAAGATATGCTATTATAGCAACACAAATGACAGGCCATATGGCATTAGGGGCATTGAACTTTGCACAGACAGTAACAAATATTATAGTTGGTCATTTGATAGATACCATTACTTAAATTAATGAAGGTGACCAGCAAAATAATAATCAAGAAGAAGTAATTAGTATCCATTCATCACAACCGGTATCAGTAAGTTCAGCTACCCCACCAATAATAATAACTTCCAGTTCTGATTCTTCAGTTCATGGTTATCCAGTAGCACCACCTACAGACTTGCCTATTCCTACAAGTCCCTCATCATCCAGCGCGTCATCTGGTAAAAGTTCCAAATCATCAAAAGCATCAAAAGCAAAATAATAAATGTTAATCCTTTAAAAAATAACATTAATCATTTATACCTTCAACAATTCATGTCTCAGCAATGAAGCAGGTCGCCCATTGACATAGTAATATGTTTGACCTAATTTGTTTTCTATCCTTGCTATGGTATATATGTCTTTCAACCAGTGGGATGATCTCTCTTTTTCAGTAATTGCTTTTTTCTCATCACCTTCACCTGATCACCCACTTGTAAGGTTGGATATTTTCTACTGCTCTTAGCCTTCAGTTCTAAATTAACCTTCACCTCATATTCATTCTCATCTGTCTTTGCTTCATTTGGCGTCATGCCGGTCGTTGAGTGCCTGTTCTTATTGTTGTGTGTAAGCATGATTTCAAACATGTAGTCTGTCCATTGAATATTATGTTTTCCACCCTTTTCATCTGCATCTACCCTTTTGAATAGGGCATCCTCGAAGGTTCTAATAAATCTTTCAGCAAATGCGGGATGTCCTCTGGTTGTATGCAATTCTATATTTTCCTTTTTGAAATATTCTTGTATTTCACTACTCATTAAACTACCTTCTTCATCACTATAGACCATTTTAGGTTTCTTACCCATTTTCTGTAATGCCTCCATGGTTCCACCTAAAACATCTGGCGGTGTTTTACTTTTAATTGGTATAACCACAGCATATCTAGTAAAGATGTCAATCAAAACTAAACCTGCCCTATACTCTTGTTTGTTTTCAAAATCAGTTTTACCCATAAAAAAACAGATCCAGTTGATATTCATAGTTAGGATGCGGAATTCTGACCTCTCGCTTTTCTTTTCTCGTCTACATTCTTGCTTTAAAAAAAACTGTTACATCATTCATTGTTATAGTCTTGTCTCTCTTCTTGGCATCTGCTAAAGTATTTGCTTTACTACCATAACCGCTTCTATCAAATACACACCATGAATAATTGTTGTTTATCACTCATTATCAAAAAGTAAAAGATTCTAATTTATAAAAATTATTTTGAATAACAATTACAATATTCACAGTAGGCAACCGCATTATCTTTTGAATGGCCAAAACAAATATCAATTCTTTGAGAGGTGAAATTGCTATTGATTGCTCCCTTACTACGTTCAATATAAAGTCACACCCAGACTATCCAGAGAGTTTTTATGGACAGCACTAACCAGAGCAACTGATTTTAAAAATGTATTTTTCTTTCAATACAGGGATGCAGAACAAGAGAAACAAGAACAAAAACTGAAACAGTATTTAAAAAATAAGATTGAAGGATACAAGCAACAAGATAAGAAGGCAAATAGGGAGTTGAACTTAGATAATTATGTTGATGTGGATTGGTGTTTAGATCGGTTGAATGAAACATGTGGAAAGTGTGTGCCACTCATGAATAGTTATATTTTCCTTAATGCTTGTCCCTTGACATGAGTGGCATGTAGCACAATAGCCATATCTAAAGTGTTTGTATACAGTTTATTCATCTAATGTATGAATGTCCTTGTTTTTGATGTTTTGAAATGTAATGGTTGATCCTTTTATACATAAAGTTTTAAAGCGTATATTGGCCTTATATTTCTGTCCATTTTGTTTCAAGTAAAGCCTACATATCAACTCTTCACCTACAACATAGGGTTTATTGTATCCTAATTGCTTTCTAACTTCATCTGCTACATATCTGCACCTGTTATTGGTGTAAGCAATGTTCATATCAGTTCTGTTAATTTTGTTTGTATATTTGAAGTATGAATTAATGATATTTCTCATAGGCAGTGTATGTATCCAGAAGTCATCGTATAAATTATTCAATACTTTTCTATCCTTTTCACCTACCCTCTTACAAACTTTAAGAAAGATGTTATATTTAAAGATCTTGTCCATGCATTGGTCAGCATACTTGGATGTTCTCTGGGGTTGCTAAAGGATTATAGGGCTTAGGACACTTGCTATCAGAGTGCTATCTCTGTGGTATGTCTGCACTATGTCAGTGCTATGTCAGATGTATCTCCTATATGTCTGCTATGTGTGTAGCTATCTCCGAACCATGGATAGTAAATGGTGGCGGAGATAGCTTAATGCTTAGCTGGGTTAGCTAAGTGGTTAGCCAAGTGGTCATGCATTTGCTATCCCTTTACTATGTACTTATTATGCGGATAGTGAAGTAGTTACTAAACACTTAGGGCAGGGAGATGCTAAGTACTTAGCTATCAAATAGCTAACAGCTTAGCTATATTGATTATTGTTTTTCATTAATTCTTTATGTTTGTTGCCATGTATTTTAATGTCAGCAGCAAGTTTTGGAACAGTGAATTTTGTATTGTTTGGAGCTGTTTTTTGTTTTGTTTGATTTGATAAGTAAAATATTTTTTGTATAAATGAAATAACCTATATACATAGTGTGTGCTTTTGTCAACAAGGTGCAGTGCATTGATGCAACAACATACATTGAAGAACAATTGTACAACATGCATGTGTGTGCCATGACATGAAGCATTGACATTGTTGAGAGCAACAAACTTGACATATATAAACTTCAAATTTATCTAAATAATTAGATTGCAGCAGGGGCATTGCAAGCACACATGAATGCTTTGACTGTCATGTTCAAGAGAGTTTCCAAAGAGTTGTGCTGCATGCAGGTTGCAGGTTCATTTGGTTATGTGTTTGTTGCTACCATTTTCAGTTATGAAAGCAAACACCGTCAGACATGTTAAATGTCAAACCTTCACTGGCTAGATTGCTCAAGCATTGATTGCTCAAACATTGCTGTGATTCATTTCCTGAACCTGTTGTTGGACTTCAGAAATCAAATCTGAAGTGAACCAGATCTTGGAGCATGATGTGGGTGACTTGGCTAAGTGGAAAGCCCTTTGTGGCTACTTCTTGGATAAAAAGATTTGCTACTATACCACCATCAAGGTCCAGGACATGCTTGCGCATGGCCAAAACAGAGGTGGCAGTGGCATTTCAGTGCACAACGCTCATGCCAAGGGCCAGATCATTTTGACAGCAGGTTGTGACCCAACCTTGCTGCAAAATTCAACTTGCTTTGAAATCAATCCTGATGTGACCAAGAGAGCAGCTCAAACAGCTTGCAGTGAAAGCCTTTGGAAGGCTCACCAAGATTTTTTGCAAAGCCCCATGGAGGAGAGAGGTTCCTTTCAGTGTCATCATCTCATTTCTCCCAGTTTTGCAAGGCTATAGCTTCAGGCTGCAAGTCTCCAATTGCAGAGCTGATGGATGCCAATGGCAGAACGTCCATTGAAGAGGGGTGGAAGTGGCTGGTCATTCCATGGTTTGTTGAGGCCAGAGTTGTAGCAAACTTAGTGTATATGCATTTAAGAGAAACCACCATGAAAACATTTGTTGTTTGTCCATGCGCAACTGATTTTAGACTGTTGGGCAAGTGATGTAGTTCTCCAAGTGGCCATGCTGCAGGAAGAGTGGCCTTCCTTGCCACATTTGGCACAAAAAGCCTTGAACTCCACCAACCAAGCTTATGAAGCTGTTTCTGAGCAAGAGCTTCTGGCAACCATTGCCAGCAGAGCTGCTTCTTTGCCAGGCTGCTTCTTTGACCAAGCTTGGCAAAGAACCTGATATTGGAAGCATAGCTAAGGAAGCTGCTGCAGGCCCTATTGCAGCTTATGCTGAAACCCTGGGGAAGTTTGTGCGCCTTTATGGAGGAGGGGGTGCTGATTTCCCATTGATGGCATTTCTGGTATCATTTGTGCCTTTTTAGGGAAAGTCAATCTCTTTGGGAAAAGACTTTTGGTCTGCCATTACTGATGTTGAGCTCTCAAAGACCAATCTTTTCAGCCTGGCAAGGCTTGCAATGGCAGTGACAAATTTCCTTTCACCAAGAAGCAAGGTTTCTGATGGCTTTGGGAGACTCCTTTCCAAGAGTGACATACAGCAGCTGAAGAACAAGAAGTTCAATGTCATTTTGGGCGACATGGAGAAGATGTTTCACGCAGCATGGACCACTGTTGGGAAAGAGTCCATCATCAAGCAACAGGCTTTTGGCAGGCTCTTGATCAGGTCCTTGCTGCACATCCTGAAAAAAAGCAAGGCAGGCCATGAGCAAAAAGAGTATGAAAGCTTGGAAGCTATCAACCAGAAGTTTGAAGATGAGCTTGAAGCTGCTGGTTCATTGAAGCATGAAGCTGCTGAAGCAAAGGCTGCAAAGGAGCCCTTGCCTTCCTTGAGTGTCAAAGAGGGTATGGACCCTATGACCATTGCAGGCCTGTCATTGAAGCTCACTGTGGGGAATACCTTTACTCACAAAGACCACCCTGGCAAGGTATTCTCCTTGGAGAAAAAAGAAGCAGGTGCATTGCAATTGGCATACCTGGATCCTATCTCCAGCAAAAAGGACATGGTGACCATTGAAGCTGCAGACATTCTTGCCAAGTTGAGATCGACCAAGGCCAAAGCACCTACCATGATTCCAGATGATGTGCTGGAAGACCTCTTTCCCAGTGCAAAGTTCACTAGTGAGATGGAGAAGGCCAAAGCTTTTTTGGCTTTGTGGAATTGCTATGACAAGATGGATTGTGATTCAAATCATATCCAAGTCCTCCAGGATGGCATGAAGCTGAAAGTGTTTGCCAAGAAAGAGTTCAAAGCAAACCAGCTATGCCTGATACCCATCACCACCTCTTGTGCGCACTTGAATGAGAACAAGCCTTCAAAGACATGCCCAACCATCCAGAATCCTGAGACTAAGCTCACCTTCTACATCAATGGGCCTAAGATTTGGAAGAAGGATGAAGACAAGAGTGGCTGCATTGCTCCCTATTGGCTGCTTACTGAGCATGAGGAGGGCCAGATGGAAAGCAAAAGCTTCAAATATGAAGGGCATGTGGTTTCAGGCTTCACAAATGTGGCACCCATCAGTGTTGGCCAAGAGATCTTCATCAAAAAACAAGAAGATCCAAAGGATGGCTCCAGAGCAAAGAAGGCAAGGATCAGCAAGTAAGCTCAAAGCTGCATTTGAAGTATGTGTTTCAAGACTAGCCTCAGCTGTAAGTGCGATGAATCTGCCAAAAGGAATTGCGCAGAAGCTTTTTCTGTGGTGAGTGTTTGATAACTTGTAGCTGAAGTCCAGCTGTGCATTTTGTGGAGTTGTAAGCAGTTGCAACCCAAGATGCTTATATATATAATCATGCTTTCCAAGGCATGACCCATCAGACATTCTATATCTATATAAAAAAAGCCTATTTCTATTATGTGTGAAGCATCCTGCTCAAGCTTTGCGCTGACCTATTTCTATTATGTGTGAAGCATCCTGCTCAAGCTTTGCGCTGACTGATTGACTCTTGTGAAGTCCTGTGGAAGATGGAGTCTCCTTCACCTGCCTTAGTGGAACCTATGCAGATCGGCATCAGCTGGCAATGCCTTTGGACCGCCTTCAAACCCTTCTCGGCAGCCGGCAGGCCTGTTGCGGTCTCTGTGGCCTGTCCGAAGCCTGCCTCCTCTTTTCTTACAGTATGGGCTTCCGAAGGCGACGTTAGGAAGAATTTTGGACCGCCTTCAAACCCTTCTTGGCAGCCGGCAGGCCTGTTGCGGCCTCTATGTGGCCTGTCCGAAGCCTGCCTCCTCTCTTCTTATGGGCTTCCGAAAGGCATTATGGACCGCCTTCAAACCCTTCTCGGCAGCCGGCAGGCCTGTTGCGGC